AGTACATGCGGACCCCCCCAGTGCTGCCCTAACCCCCAGAGCCTCCCCCCAATGCTAGTCCCTGCTCCCAGAGCTGCACTGCACCCAAGCCCTCTGGTGCCAGTCCCCAGTATTAGCCCTGCCCCCCTCACCTAGCCCTGCGTTGCTCCCAGCTGAGCGCTGCTGCCTGGGTTGTGGTTGCTCTAAGGCTGTTCTGCTGGGCTCCATTCAGCCCTCCTGCCGTGCACTGAACCACTCTTCCGCATCCAGGAGGAGACCCCACCCCTGCCCGGTGCTGGTTGGCTCCTCCTTATGTCCCCTTTCCTACCAGCACAGCTGTTGTCTGGAGCAGGGAGCTTCTGCTGCTGAGGGAGTGCCCCTCCCCAACCAGGAAGCTCTCTGTGCAGCAACCCTAAACCTCTGGGCAGGGCTCAACTAGCAGCTGCCCTGGGGCGCAGCTTACAGGGAACTTAGAGCACCAGCATGGTCTGTGGTTCCAACCCAAAGCCAGCTGCTGAATGTCTTATCTCTTAGAATCCTTCAGGTTAAGTGCAGCTCTAGAAGGGGAAAGGATTAGCACTTCCTCATTTGATTTGGTAGTGCCCAAGAATTCAGATCTCTCAGATGTCTCTTTAGTGGCCATAGGCAAGAAATGCTCAAAACATGGTCATTGCACTGAGCAAAGTTGGTATGATAAGTGGTAATGGTTTAATGTAGTGGGGACACAACTGCTATTGTCATCTAATGGGAATTTTTGTAACCTCATCCATCACTTTGCAAATTTGGCCTTCTAGGCTTATGTGCAAAGCACTTCTCACTGGCAATACAGTGAAGTGCATTTTAAATGAATTAAAATTATTATTATTTATTTGTTTATAAATGAGCAACTTCTTTGGGACTCTTGTTTGATCCATCTTGCCACATCACTACTCAGCATGGTAAATCTGGACTAGTCAGAACACCAGCAGGCTTTTTAACATTGAGCTAATATCAAACACAAAGCCCTTCTCGTAGTGTAGTTTTTTTTAAAACCAGTTTTTTAATCTCTTCTGTAGTATACAGCCACTGTAGCTTGAAATCAGCCTATTGATGCTGGGATGCTTGGCAGAAATACACCCTGCCGGCATCTGAAAATATCATGGATCCTTCCTATAGAGCAGAGGTCGGCAACCTTTCAAAAGTGGCGTGTCAAGATTTAACTTATTCACTTCTATTTACAAATCTGTGTTCCAGGGGCAGGATTTTCTGAACCAGGTGCAGCTAGGGAGAATGATTTAATTTAAATTAATGAACCGATTAAGTGTGTGAACTTTCTTATGTTTATCAAACTTACTTTTATTTAAAATCATTAATTTATGTCCAACATAAAAGGTTTCGACATTTTCTTTATGGCAGGGGTGGGGAACCTTTTCTGGATTGGGGGGCCACTGACCCACAGTAAAATGAGTTGGGGACCACACAAGTGAGTGGGAAGGGCAAAAAACTCCACCAAAAACCCCCAATGCTTGCTGATGTGTCCCCCAACTGAGACACCCTCGCTCCTCTGGCATTCCAGCCCCACGGGGCGAGGGGAAGGGAAGGGACAGGGAGGACTGCAGTTCAGAGCTTCCCATAGGCCAGATTAACTTTTCTGGGGTTCTAGGGTTAGTTATTTTTGTGGATCTCCTTAGGCTCTGGGCTGGGAACAAAAATGAGGGGTTCAACGTGCAGGATAGGGCTGCCAGTGTGTGGGATAGGGATGGGGTGCAGGATCTGGGTGCAGAAGGGGGAGAGGTTGCGAGGTCTGAGTGGGAAGTAGGGTGCAGAAGCCAGCTGGGTGTAGGGCACCTGCAGGAGGGAGGGTGCAAAAGGGGACAGGATGGGACAAGATGTCTGGCCAGGAGGGAGGGTGCAGGAGCAAAGGAGGGTGTTGGAGAAAGCTGGGGATGCAGGGTCTAGGCATGGGGAGGGAAGTGAGTAAGTGGGATTGTGATGAGGGGG